CCTGCAACCTGTGTGTGAATCAAAGCTTCACATATACTCCACATGTGAGTGGTACCATGAAACATTTTTCTTCCTGTTTTTGGCTTTTTTACTTGACATTATATCCCCAATTTTCATTCATGTTTTTACATATGACAGGATCTTCCCTTTGCTACAGACTAAATTAGCGAATAAATGAACTTTAGCTGATCTATCACACAGAACAGTGACCATAATGAAGAATAAAATACACTGTGTATCAAACTGTTCAAAGGTTAGACTTGTTTTCACAACAAAAACAAGTGAGGTAATAGATAAGCAAATAATCTGCTTTAATTATTTCACACTGCAAATTCATATCAAAATATCACACTGTATAAATCTATGCAATTATAATTTTCAATTAAAACTATAATTGAATGCCATTTGGCGAGCATGCTATCTTTTTTACCAATGTGGGTTTTTTTTACTCCTTTCTTTAAAATAAGGTGATTGTAACTGTGTGAACTTAAATCTAGTTCCTCAATTCTATTCCATTGATCAACGTGCTTGTTTAAATTCCAGGACCATGCTGTTTTTATTACTGTAGCTCTGTAGTATACTATGAAATCAGGGATGGTGTCACCTCCAGAATTTCTTTCATTGTTCAGGATCGCTTTGGTTATCCTGTGTTTTTCTGTTTCTGTATGAAATTTGAGATTACTTTTTTAAATTTCTGTGAAGAATTCTGTTGGAATTTTAATGGAGACTATAGGAAACCAGTAGATTGCTTTTGGCAGGATGGCCATTTTCACAATATTAATCCTACTGATCCATGAGCAGGGGAGGTCCTTCCATCTTCCAGTAGCTTCTTCAACTTCTTTTTGTCGGTGTCCTAATGATTTTACTCTAGAAGTCCTTCATGTCCTTGGTTAGATTTATTCTAATATAGTTTATGGTTTTTGAGACTATTGTGAATGGGATCACTTCCCTGAATTCTTTTTCAAAATATTTGTGGTTGGTATGTAAGTAGACTACTAATTTTGTGTGTTAATTTTCTATCCTTCTACTTTGTTGAATGTGTTCTAGGCCGTCTCTGGTGGAGTCTTTAGGGCGTTTTGTGCATCAAATCATGTTATCATATGTAAATAAGCATATTTTACTTCTTCCTTTCCAACTTGTATCCCCTTTATCGCCATTTATCTTATTGCTCTAGCTAAGACTTCAAGTGCTACATTGAACAAAAATGAACAGAGTGGACATCCTTGTCTTGTTCATGATTTTCCAGTGGATGTACCCACTCCAAGGGGCATTTGGAATAAAACTGACACAATAGCCCTTAATGTATATAGCAGAGTACATGAAATCATGCAGGAAGTATTAAGAAGAGGGTATAGATAGGGGAGGGGGTCTAATGTGATCAAAATACATTGTATGAAACTTACAAAAACCCATAAAATGAAAAAAACTATAATTTAATACATAATTAGACAAGTCTCAAACAATTGCATTAGATTGGAGCTGAATTATAAATGAAAGCCTTAAACTATGGTTTTAAGTTTTCTAACCTTATTCTAGAATTGTTTAAAAAGATATAAAGAGCCAAGGATATTTACCTCAGTTATATAACTAAAAATTTGAAAATCTGGAGAGAAGATGGTATTTCAAATGGGAGACATGCCAGAAAATTGAAAGATTTGTGCACTATGACTATATATTAAAAGCATTACATAGTAAGGCAGGGAATATAGTGGAATAGAGGGCAGAGAGAATACTAATGCACCCCTCAACTATAACCAGAAAAGCTTCCACATACAACAGAGTGTGATGGACATGGATGGCCACACCTGGCCAAAGTACAGAGAATAAGAGACTGCAGTGTTTGTGCCCCAAGATAGAACTATATTAAACCTCACTCACCTATGTAAAAGTTCAGGGACCACTGTGGAAGAGGAGGTCAAGAGATTGCAAGAGCCAGGGTTGGTCCATGAACATAAGGAAATATAGGCTTTCAGGCCACTGGGAACTTGCTCATATGAACTTATAATAATGGTAACAGGATACACAAGGCCCATGCTGACTCATTCAGACAAAAACCCAATATAGAACTGGCGAAACTGGCAACAGGCCTCAATCTTAGCCAAGGAACTATTGCAAAATATTGCCACAGGGTGAGGCAGAGTTGATCTTGTTTAAGGGAGTGACTCTGGACAGACTGACTAGACTCCAGTGGATGGACTTTCACAGAGGGACATCTGGGTACAATGATTGATTGGATAGGCCTTAACATGTATGATGGAATATATGAAATCTGTGGGGGGTATGAAGGTGTAGATGGGGGAAGCCTTGGAAAACCAGAGCAAAACAGCGTCTTCTGGACATGACAGGAGCACTGTCCTAGTGAACTTACAGCAGCTGTTGCTATATGCAGAAGACTTGCACAAGATCAAGTTAATCAACATTCTAGCATGGAGGGGAAAGGGGGTTCATGAGTCCCTACCTCTAATCTAGGAACCATGTACAATTGATGGTTTCTGGGCAGGGGTAGTCTATTTTCCTCACAAGTGTGGCTCCAGAGAGATCAACCATTCTACAGTGGATGGCCCTACACTAGAAGTATATGGATAGTACAAATTGGAGTTTTAAAAGTTATTGTTAATTTTTTAAAAGGAGGATATGAATTTCAGTGGGATAGGGAGGTATTGGATAAATATGATCAAAATACACTGTATGATATTAGGGTAGCAGGCTACCAAGGGACAAAAACAAGCAATAGTCCTACCTAGCTGTCAAACCTATGAACCACAGAATGACAAACCCAGCAAAATATCTCTAATTGGTGCAATAGTGGCACTATTATCATGGGGGTAGTCAACAGCTATGTAATTGGACTTAAGGGCTGCTAAGTTGGAGAGAATCAATCCTTAATAGTATAAACATAATCAAATATCCATGATGATAGTGGGTATAGATCTTCCAGGAGAGCCCACTGATGCCAAATTCCTAAATCAATGTAATTTTTTACTATAGTCTAAATCCTTATCCTAACATTCACAGATAAATACGGCTCTCACCCTTCATCAAAGAACCGTCCTCTTGCAACAGATAGAGACTATTACAAAGTTCCACAACTGGTCAAAATGCAGAGAATTAGTGATTGTAAGGTACACAGCCCCAATTAGTACATCTACAATGCAACCCCAACACCTAAGGCTCAGGGAACATGGCAGAAGATGGGACAGAAGGATTGAACAGTCAGAGGAACAAGAGGTGTGCTGCTAGACAGTGTATTCTAGACAAAATGGAGAAGGTGCACGCATGAAATTTCAACAGTATGGTTTGCTAAACAAGATCTGCATAATTATAACACCATAGGGTCATGCCAGTGTGGATGGGGGAAATTTCTATGGGTCCCACCTCTAGATGGAGAGCTACATGTAACCAATGGCTGCTGGGGAGCAGGGAGAATCAGTTTGCTCCAGGAACAAGCTCTCTGATTGGTTATCAAATCCAAAGTCAACAATCCTAAGCATAGATATACATAAGCACCATTAAAATCATATCTATATATGGCCACAAAACTGAAAGGGAGTTGGTGGGATATGTGGGAAAGTTGAAGGGGAAGGACAGAGGTGGAAATGATATAAATACACTACCATGTATGAAATTCTCAAAAAAAAAACAAAAAAAGTTTTAAAAAATTGTATGAAATTCTTAAAAAATATATTTATTTAAAAATGTAATAAAAATTGATTATTTACTAGGGGTAGTGAACCTCAGTGAGTTAATGAAAAACACTTGGGACAATATAATTTTTAAAACTTCCTTCACACACCTCACAATACAGCCTTATTTACTCTGTCAAGAAATAGAATGTAAAAGTGAAAAGGCTAGGGGCTCTTGTCCACAAGCAGTTATTACAATCCATGGCATCAGCGAAGTCACCCAGGAAAGCACTCCGTTCCTTGGCATGCTTCATTTCCTGCTGGCACTTTACAGTGAACCAATGTAATGGAAACCGGACCTCAGCAGAGCCAGGGTGATGCCATCCAGAGGCTCAGTTTCTCTTACCTCCTCGGAGGTAAAAGTCTGCAAAAATAAAGGAACTCAGAGAGTTAAAAATTGAAGGCCAGAAGTGGGAAATAATAATAGACACAAGTTCTCATGGAATCAAGTACTGCAGCAGGTATTGTAGAAATAAAGATGAATGAGCTACTTTCTACTCTGGAAGAATTTTTCCCATGGTGTAGAGACAAAACACAGTAAATAACCTTTCCCTCGTGGTGAAAAGGTGCTACAGCCAAGGCTGAACTGTGAACTCACCTTGCTCCTGACTCACTATCAACAACTACTGTCCACTTCATAGAAACTTCAGTGTTAATGATTTTTTCACCTCTCATAAAGCTACTGATCTCACCTCTATAATGAAAAATGACTTATAACAGTTAAAGAATGAAGTTAAACTTAGAGATGCTTGAAAAATTGTGACATTATTATTAGGACCAATGGTATTCCATCATTAGTAACACAGTGTAGTTACTAAAGAAACATTGTCAATATCAGCAACATTTGATGGCTAATGTCCCCTAGAGCTATTATCAAGGAATTTTAGATACAAAGAGAACCTGATAGAGTGTACTCTGCAGCCAGATATCTTGATTCAGACAATGGCTTTGATATTAATTAACTTTTAAACATGTAGAACTTGCTTAAACTCTTTGCATTCCATTTCCTTAACTTGCAGTATCAGGTGGCAGAGCATGATGAACTCATAAAGTTTTATGTAAGTTTATTATAAGTAAAGTATTAATAATAACAGCTTCTTCACATTTTTATTAGTATTATATAACTTCAAGATACTATCAAAATAATATTTAAATTTTTAAAAGACACTATTAAATGTCCAGAGTTGTTAACAGCAATTCATGGTTGAAGTGACAAATATTAAATCCTGTCTCTCATATATTTTACTTTTCCAAGTTTGTGAAGCAGAGCTAATGACTAACAGGACCATAAAAACTCATAAAATACTACATGGGCACTGTCTTTCTTAAGGCACCAAGATCAGATAAGCGGAAAGCACTGGCCACCCCCCAAGGTCTTCTTGATGGCATTCTTGACTTCCTGGTTCCTTAGGCAGTAGATGAAAGGATTCAGCATGGGGGTGAGGACTGCATACACAGCTGAGATTAGTTTGTTGGAATTAAAGGATGCAATAGCTCTGGGCCTGACATACATGAAAATCATGGCTGTGTAATAAATTATGACCACAGTGAGATGAGATGCGCAGGTGGAAAAGGCCTTCTTCCTTCCCTGGGTGGAGGGTATACGCAGAATGGCAGACACAATGTAGACATATGAGAGGACAGTGGTGATGAGAGGGAAGACAAGAATGATGATTGCCAGAGCAAAGTCCACTAATTCAGCTGTGGACATGTCTTTACATGCAAGTTTGAGGACTGGTGATATGTCACAGAAAAAGTGGTTCATGACATTAGAGCCACAGAAAGCAACGTGTGAAATGAAATAGACTTTGACAACAGAGACCATGAAACCACTAAAATAGGAGAGGGCCATCAGCTGCATGCAGTAACTTGTAGTCATGATGACTGGATATTGGAGAGGGTGGCAGATGGCCACATAGCGGTCATAGGCCATGGCTGACAGGAGCACACACTCTGTGCAGGCCAGTGAGATAAAGAAGTAGAGCTGGGTCATGCATCCTGTGAAGGAGATGCGCCTTCTCTGTAGAAGGAATCCATCCAGCATCTTAGGGACCGTGACAGACACATACCAGATCTCTAAAAAGGACATGCTACTCAGGAAGTAGTACATGGGTTTGTGGAGGGAGCCAGTGACCCAAACAGTAAACATGATAACAAGATTCTCTGCTATAATCAACAGATAGACTATCAGGAAGAGGAAGAATAGCAGGACCTGCAGCCAAGGGGCTGTGGGGAAGCCCACCAGGATGAACTCACTGACCAGAGTGATGTTCATGCCCAGCATGACTGAAAGCACTGGGAGACATTGAAGTCTTCTGTGGTAACACAACAAAGGTTTTTTTTTTTTTTATGGCATCAAACAGGAAGTGAGTTAGTAAATCAGTCTTCTGGTGAATAAGAGTCATAATAAAGTTTCTATTAATGGACCCTTTTCTTCAATGTAATGAAACACTTTCCTTCAATGTATTTTTTGGGGAATTTCATACATGAGAACCACATTTAGATCACTTCCACCCCTCCTCTCCTCTCCAATTTTTCTCATATTCTGGAACCAATTATCTGTTATCACGGGCAGCGATTAAAACATTGACATCCATGAGATGTCTGGATCCTTTGATAGTGAAGCCAGACCAATTTTCCCCTCCTTGTTGATTCCATTGTTTGTTTACTATAGAAAACAAGCATCTATTAGTCCCTGAAATGAGATGAAAGTTGACAGTATTCAGTCAGAAAATACTCCAAGTTTAGTATTTGAGTGATCCCTTAGCTGTAGTCTTTGACCCAGGAGGATTTCTTCAATTTGGATTCTGTGGAAATTTTTAAACAATAAACAGTTACATGACATTTACAAAAACTAGATCAGGTGGCTTTGAAGATAACTCCGCAGGTAAGTGGGTTCTGCACAAGCATAAGTACTAGAGTTGAGATTCGCAATACCATTGCAGATTCCAGGTAGGCATGACAGCCTGCCTGTAATCCCAGCACGAGGAAACTAAAACAGGGAATCAACAGAGCAAGCTGGCTAATCGGACTGGCTAAGGAACTGAATTATTGCTTCAGTGAGAGAGCACACCCTAATGTATAAGGTGAGGAAAGATCTAGGAAGTCATCCGATGTCAAACTCCAACCTTCACACACACAAGGGCATACATTCACATGCATCCAAACACATGTGGTCACAGACACATGAAAATGTACACCACATAAACACACACACAGAGATATATACAGAGAGAGAAAAACACCCCTGCACATACACCCAAAAAATTAAAAAGAACTTAGAACAATGACTCATCAACATTTGCTTCCCAGTGTGCCTCTTCCCCAATGTGTGGGTACTTCTCCCCAAAACACTGCAATCTTTCCAAAACTCAAGACATTGTTCTTTGTGAGTATGGACTGAATGCCTGGAACAGTGACTGGGAAAAACATGGATAGCAGGTGAATATGATATAGCAAGTGCGTTACTAAACCCCTTTCAATTTTGGAATTCATCAAAAATAGGGAAGGGAGATTCCCAGTCATCTGCTGATTGGAGGCAATTATCTGTCAGATTGCACATCTTTTACTTATATTCCCCCAAATGCACTTAAATCCAGAGATCACACTCCCAAAGATAAGCTTATATCAATCATACCCATAAGGTGGGAACTGTAGAACTGACCTATGGTCTCTGTTCACCTGTTAAATCACTGTTTCTAAATATAAGCCACAATCTGCAGCTCTCCTTCACAGAGATGAGGAGAGTCAGGAAGGTACATGGTAAAATAAAAGGTCAAATGCATCTTACAAAGCTGGAAGGCAGCATCTTTGTGTGTGAGCTGGCCCAACTCTATTAATTTTGTCAAATGTCTCACTTTTACTAAAAACCTATAATCATAGACCATTGCAATCCTTTTGTCAAATCTCTCTCTCTCTCTCTCTCTCTCTCTCTCTCTCTCTCTCTCTCCCATCCTGTTGGCTCAGAAAAGGTGGTAGGTCATTCAGAGATTACTCTGTCATATCCTTGGACTACAGATATCATGAAAACAGTTCCTTGCAAGGGATAAAAGGATGAAATATATAAAATATATAATTGGCATTACTATCTTCTTTTTATAGCTGCATGCATGGGCATCTTACAACAACACTTGCTGAATAGAGGTATATAGATTCCAAGCTGTACTGTCTCTTCTGAGAAGGTTTAGTAGTAAGGAACTTCCCATTCACACATGACTTCAGCCAAATGCTTTTCAGAAGAAAAGAAAATTGTCTGGTATCAGAGAGCAGCCAGCTTTCCCCCATGATCTACCTCAGTAAACAAGCAACACTAACATGAAAATCCCCAAACAATATATAGCCATCTACATTTGTATCAGCAGACACATACTTCACCACATACTTACCTCTATGTAGACTTTAAGAGTCCTTTATTTATAATCAGATGAATGTCTCGGTCACCTTTACGGAGCCCAGCAGCTGTGCCACACTCCACAGACCACTTATCAAGTGTGTGCTTCATTCCCTCTCCTATAAAATGGAAAAGTACAACACACTTATAACTGAACCGTGCTTTGCACACTGAATGAAACAGTGAATGGCGGGCACTTGACGTAAAACTTGATTCTCAGTTATCCTCATAAGTACTGAATGTTTCCTATGTCACACTAGACTCATAGAGGTTCATTCAATCATGTATATTCATGTGTTTTTAGTCACAAGAACTCATAAACGTGTACATTCGTTCTCTTTCTTTTCCTGCTATATCATGGGGAATAAAGTTAATTTGTTATAAAATTTAGTTACTGCATCTGAAAATCTCATGCCTTCTTTCTTGATTTACTTGTTGATAAATCGTTATTCTCACACACCTACTGTCTTCATATTTTCCATATTTTTGCCATAGATGTACTCGTAGTACGTTCTAGTATGAAGCACAAAAAACGCAGAATCATATAATTATGTGATCCCTGTTGTGGAAGTAAAGTCACCCATCTCTGGTTTCTATTTTTTTTCTATTACTTTTTTACAAATTTATTTACAAGTAGTACATAGGGTGTCAGCCCATGCCTGAGGACCTGATAGCCCAGCAGTATCGAACCTCAGCTCTGGTTTCTTATGGAATCCTAGGGAACATACCCTTTCAATTTGCTCTTGAACCATGTTTACAATCTTGAATGTGCTTGTCCTAAGGGACACCCACACTGACTGATCTCAAGATCAAGAAGTGTATTTTGGAGCGTCTAACAACCACAAGGTCCAGATTTGCCACAAATGCCGCCCACCTTGAATAAATATGTATTGAATCTTTATTACCTATTTGTATTCACAAAACACCCTTTCTCTTGTTCAAGAATGCGACTGTGATCATTTTCCCAAGTCCCTCCTCATCTTTCTTGGAACTTCATCAGAGATCAGCTGAGTTGTCTTCATACCACCAACCACTAACCATCATTCATGGTTCCTTATTCTAACAACAGAAATTTCTTCAGACATTAGTACTGGTTATGAGAAAGGAAACCTGGTCTATAGAACTCCATGCTCTCTAAAGAACTACACCGATCTTTAGTCTGCGTGGTCGATATGGCAGCTTCAGGACAAAAAGACTAGAGGAGAGACAGGATAATATAGTCAGCATTTGCTTGTGTTTGTTCTCATGTCTTCTCCCCAAGGGACAACTTAGACTCTTTCTGTCCTGGCTCCAAGTAAACTTGGTATGTACTGCCAAGATCATGTTCAGGATACCTGGGAAGCCAAATCTGACTACTCATCATTTCCTGTTTAATATTGGACCATGATTATTTATATTTGTAAATATGGTGTGGTTCTCTCACTTTTAAATATACGCAAGATGATATAACATCAATATACTCAGAAACAAAACTAAGAGACTAAGTGGATTAAAGGTATCAGAGACATTTACATATATTTCAGTTCTTACATAAATTTGCTTCTTCCTTTTCTTGGTATCTCAGTGATCTTTAGGGCGCTATGATGAACAATATGTAGAAGAAAAATTACATAGGTCCTGAGCTCTGACATATGAAAATGTACAGTATCATACATAAAATAAAGAAGAAACCCATATACTTAGGCAAATTGGTGGCATTTGCCATAAGAAAGGTGGAAACAAAATGCTTTAAGGACCTCGAGGAAGGATACGTTCTTTCTCCAGGGGAAACTAGAAAAGGCTTCATCAAAAAGCTGTCACCCCAGATTCATTGAAGGAAATAGCTTCATAGTAGTAGCATAGTAAATAACTTAAGTCTCCTTCCCTAATGTCAATCCCCAGCAGCACCTGAAGCAGGCGGCTGCAACCATGTGTTTGCACCCTGTCATCCCCAAACCCTGAGGCTGCATGTGTGAACGAATCAGTATCTGAGCCTGTCCTCTCAGGTAGTCTGGAATCTTGTCTCTAATCCCAGACCTTGCTGATGGACTAAGCACTACAAAGGACTCCAACAGCACTAGGGGACACTGTGGACCACCTGTAGCTCTGTCACCACAAGCCATGCAATTGCTGATGTGCTTGAACCAGTAAGGCACTGTATTTCCTCAGACCCAGAGCCACTGCTCATGTTAACACCAACCACCTTGTACCACTAGACTCAGACCTGTAGCACAAGTTATTGTGCCTTCTTCTATGTGTGGAAACAAATATTTCAAGGAAATCAGAAAGCTCACAATATATAGAAATTAAGCAGCATATTCCCAAAGGCACTCCATGGATCAATCAACTCTAGGTATTTGAAATAAAATAAGGGAGAACTAACACTAAAGACCCTTTGAAAAAAAGTCGTATGGGAACCAATTACTGTAGAAACTTCCTAAAATATATTAAGGCTTTTATTTATATTTTAATATTTTATTCACTATTTTTATGTGTATCAGTGTATTGCCTGCATGTATTTAGGTGAAGCCATGTTGTGCAATGTCCACAAAGGTCAGAAGAGGGTGCTGGATCCCCTAAAATTAGAGCTATGGACAGCTGTTAGCTGTCATGTGGGTGTTGGAAATCGAGCCCAGGTCCCCTGCAAAAGCAACCAGTGCTCTTAAACACTGAGACATTTCTCCAGGCCCCAAGGCTTTTATTGTTTAAGAAAAGAATTCAGAAAGGAAATTGAAATATCTAGAGACAAGCAAAGATGGAAATACTTGTAGGATGAAGCAACATCAATTAAAAAAGGAATGTTCGTAGCAACAAATGACTGTATTATGAAGGAAAAATCACAAAATCTTACCTGTATATCTCAAGAAACTAGAAAAAAATGAATAGACTAAGCTTAAATCAGTAGGAAAAAAAGTAAATATTGCCCCTACCAGACACCACGATCTAGCGAAGAAAAGCCC